TGACTTGAAATTCTTGTTTTATATTTAAAACTGTATTCTCGGTGGGCTCTTTATTTTGGTCTGCAGATGACACAGAAATTTCGCCCGGAACTCGTTAAGTTTGGGCGTAGACTAATTCGCCAGATGAACATTTTAAATCCTCTTTTACGCAAGTTCGAAATCCTAATAGAATTATCGGGATTTCGTAACTCCAATTAATGCTGTTTTGTCTAGCTCGTAACGCTGACTTGAGTTGTCTGTACAGACGTTCTACTGGTCCGTTACTTTGCGGATGGTATGTATTTGTGTGGATTTTATGACAACCCAGTAAATTTGTAAGTTCTGTTAACGTTCTCCTTATAAATTGACTACCTTGGTCGGTTGTAATAGTTAAGGGTACGCCAAATTGTGGAATGTATCGGAGGAACAACATTTCTGCTATTGTTGTTGCAGATATCTTTTTAACAGGGTATGCCTCGGGCCGTCTCGTGTATCGAGCGACGATTTTCAAAATATATTTGTAAAACCACGTGATGGTGGAAAGGGACCCACCAAATCTATGTGGATATATGCTCGAACCTGTTTTTAGGAATATTGAATTTTTCTAGTTCTGATTTTGTATGACAGTTAATTTTTGACTTTTGGCAATTGATACAGGTTTTAGACAAGTTATTTATGTCTTTGTTCATATGAGGCCAAAAATATTTTTTGCTTATCAACTTCCTCGTAGCACTTATTCCGGGATGAGAAATATTATGAAGTTCTTTGAAAATCACTCGACGGTAGCTAAGTGGAACGTATGGTCGGTATGTTTTTTGAAGAAATGTCGCACCATAGATGAGTTTCGTCGGAACAATGGACGTTAACTTCTTTTAACTCGATAGTGGAGTTTTTATGGTTTAATTAATTTAACGTTTAAAATCAATTTCAGAGATGTCGTTGCTGTTGCTATGTATTTGTGATAACGTGACAACTGTCAAATTTGACATTCTTTTGATATTTCATATATGATGTAAATTGTGAAATGAATTCTAAATGTCTTATTTGTCTAGGGCTGCGTTCAGTCTTAGTAAATAAGGCTTTTGTTAGAGGTAAATGATTAGTAAAAACAACAAATTCTTTACCTTCTAATAAATGACGAAAATGTTTGATTGACGAGTAGATAGCCAGAATGGCCAGAAGTTATCGGTCAAAAGTAGAATAGCGACTTTTTGGTTGGCTTAGATTTTTTCAATAAAATGCTAGAGGGTCACAATTATTGTTATTATATTGTTCTATCACCGCACCTATAGCAGTGTTAGAACAATCGACTGTTAGGTTGATCAAACTATTTTCTAAGGGATGAGCCAAAAGTGTGGATGTGCTTAAAAATAATTTAATTTCGTTAAATGAATTGTCACATTCAGACGACCATGTAAAACTTGACTTTGGTTTACTATTTTGTAGTGTTTTTATTAAATTTTGCAGTGGTTTAAGTTACTCTGCTAATTTTGGAATGAGACGGTGTCGGTGATAATAATTGATCATACCGATAAAGCGCTGCAACTGTTTAAGCAAATTGGCCATAGCAAAATAGTTTATTACTTGTACGCGTTCTCTTGAGGGCATAATCCCTTTACTCGATATTTCGTGACTCAAGAAGTTCGATTTCTCCACGACCAATACACTCTTTGAGGGTTTAACGTTCAGTCCGAAATCGTTTAAACGTCGAAAAATTTAATTCAAGTTGTGTCAATATGTTCTAGTTCGTCTTTACTTCCTACCAGAATATTGTCAAGATATACAAATGCAAAGTCTAATCCGAATACCTCGTTTATAAATCTGTGAAACTTCTGTCCCGCATTTTGAAGGAGAAACGGCATCCTTGAAAATTCGAAAAGGCCGAAAGGAGTAGTAATCTCCGTTTTAGAAATGTCTTCTTCATATACGGGAATTTGGTGATACGCTCTAACCAGATCAATTTTTGAGAAGATGGAACACCCTGTTAAATGCCAGTTGAAATTTTGAATATGCGGAAATGGATAACTGTCTGGTACTGTAACGGAATTTAGGCGTCGATAATCACTACATATGGTCTCCAGTCATTGGAGTATTTTTTGGGTACCATATATGAAGGGGAGAAGTGACTTTAGAAGATGGAGGTTTGCAAATACTTTGCTATTTTATATTTAAATGGGTCCAAGCGACGAGGTTTGTAAGGAAGAGATCCGTTAGTAAGAATATGATGAACAGTGTTATGTTTAACTGGTAAATTGTAATTAGGAGGAGCCGTCAGAGAATGATAATTTTTTAAGATTTTAAAATATTTATTTTCTATGCAAAATATTTTTGGTGAAAGACAATTTTGTGTCGATTATAAGCCCAGTACTCACTACAGCGGAAATTGATTTTGCGGAATTGATGTGATTGGTCTAAATAAAGTTAAACACCAGATGGTGCAATTTTCTTGCGAATGTTTGAACTTTTTGCGGTAACCGCAAAAAGTTGAAATTATTTTAACTTTTCTGCGGATTTTATAAAATTGTCTCTCTCGGTTCATCCATAGTTTTTTTAGGTTTTCTTTTATTGTTTGTTGTTACTTCTGTTATTTATATTTTGCATAATGCATATTCAAATCGTGCGTTTTCCTTATATCAATATAAGCATTAAGTTTTTATTTGATTTATACCTTCTTACTTGTTTTTGCCATATATGCTTATTTTGAGGTAAACTAAAGTTTAAATCTAACATTGCATATATGTTGTGAAATGCGCCTTGGGTCTTTCCCTTCTTTTTCTTTAATGTATTTTTATTATTTAAATACCGCAAACCTAACAAACTATTTCACCTTCCCGATTCATTGTTTAAAAATGCAATCAAAACTCATAAGTAAACAAAACAACCATAAATACCCGCAAGAGACTTTTACCATCAAGGTTGCCATTGAGGACTGCCACAGGTCAAAGTGCCAACATCCATGGGAAAATCCAGGTTCAATTAGGAATTGGTATGGAAAAGTTCACTAATACTGTTATTGTCGCCGATATCGAAGAAGATGTTATACTAGGAATGGCTTCCAGTTGGATTTTAAGAACAGAGTAATCAAAGTTGTTGCCGAAGAGGTATTCCTACATTCATATGGGGACAGTACCGTGCCAGTTGCTGTACAGGAAGATACGGTGGTACCTGGCAGAAGTGAAACCACGGCTCCAAGAAATTATGGAATTATGTAAGAAATGTACCACCTTTGCTAGGAGTAATGGGCCCCAACGAAAAAGGAAGGCTCCCATGAAGCCGTACAACGTCGGTAGCCCATTTGAAAGGATTGCCTTAGATATTGCTGGACCAATCTCCATGACCGAGGATGGTAATAAATACATGATGGTGGTTATGTATTATTTTACGAAGTGTTGCGGACGTGTTAATAAAATAATTTATCAGTAGATTTAAAGTGCCCTTGGAGATCCTCAGCGACCACGCCAGAAATTTTGAAGCCAGCTTTTCCGAAAAATCTGTAACAGACTAGGTATGAAGAAAACCAGAACTGCGGCATTGCACCCACAGTCGAATGGAATGTTAGAGCGAATGAATAAGACAATTGGCAAATACCAGTCAAAAGTGGTTTCCCAGCATCGGCGAGATTGGGATCAGTATCTTTCGCTCTCCGCAATGGCATATAGATCCGCTGTCAATGAATCTACCGGCCAAACACCAGCAAAGATGCTGTTCGGGCGCGAGATTAGACTACCGTGTGACCTCGAGTTGGGTGCTGACCTGGAAAAGACATAGGTGAAGATTATGTGATCCAGTTACGAAGAAAAATGGACATGCATGAGTTAGTTCGCTCGCATCTTCAAATCGCCAGCGATACGATACAATACACAAGCCACATAAGGACGTTTGAAGGAAGGCGAGCGACAAAGTCTGGCTCCAAAATCCAAAAGGAATATTCTACGAAGCAAAGGACTTGGAAAGGTCCGTACCTCATCAAGAAAAAATTAACGATTTTATTTACCGTATAAGATCTCGAATGGTAATCCGAAGGAAGTTCACTAAAACCGGCTGGTGCCATTTGAGGGTGACCATGTCGCGGAAGAAGTAAACCAGCTTCATGAAACACCTGACCTTGTCTTCCAAGAATTTATGGGTGCATATGGAGGTACCGTAAAAGCAAGACATGATGTTACAACCGAGCAACAAGACCTGCTCACGCTTCCTAAACACTAGTCGCTGGTCATAGCACTTCCGCCAGCATCAACGACGCTCGAGGTCTGGCATCTGTGTTCCTGAAGAAGATTGGTCGATTGCCAGAACTTCAAGGTCAGTTACCAGCCTATGGAAAAACCTTGAAACTTAAAGATGCCTCGCGTTACCTACGCTATTTGGTAAAAAAGGACACCTTCTAAGATCGATCCACTTATTATGATGTATTGAATGCATTACTTAATCCGAGGGAGTACGTTCGGGAGTCCAATGTACAGAAACTAGCCATGCCAAAGACAGAGAGCATTATCATCACATAAATTAAAGTACTCGACAAGTTTCATCATTTATTATAGCTTATGCGATTATCAATACTCCAGGGATACCATTCGTTGTATTATACAGGTAATTTTTAACTCGAAAGGGATATTTTACAATGAGTTGAATAAAGTTTAATAGGAACATACACATAACAGAAAGACCGCTTGTCGGCAAGCATCGATATGCCTTTGACTTATGCTCGCCCCATTACATAAATCAGAGTTATGCGACATCGGTCTCTGCCTGATATGCACATGCTCCTATTACACTTTTATTATAAGGTACTTTCAGTATTAAAAATTCCGTACCTGTATATATGATTATCTCTATCTAGTCGATGAACGAATCTGATGAAAGCTAAAAAACTAAAGAGGTTCTTTTCATCTAGTCACCCACTAGTCTAAAAGTAATACCTGACAATTAAATTACATATTAGGAAATTGTGGTTTACTTAATGAGGAAATGATTGTTTCAAAAATATGTTCATATTATCAGGGATGTGAAATAAAACTAAGATCCTGTGTATAATTTACACTGCGTATATTTATATTTTTCCAATAAAATAAATCATTGCCTTCATATAAAAACTTCCAATGTTAAGTACATTTCTTGATAAAAAGTACTTCATATTAAGCAAAAGTATATACATATATATCTTATAAAAAAATCTATATTATGCTAACCAGAGCCCACATTTAAACATTTTCCTTTCAATCGATGAAACTAAGTAGATACAATTTGTACAGTTTATTTTATCGGAAAAATTTTAAACTCTGGCCTCACAATAAGATCACATCTAACATAAAATGATTAAAAACAATTAATATTGTCTGAAGAGTATTTTTTAAAGGCAATGCATAAAAATCACAATGTACATGACAAAAAAACTAAATAAATAAATTTTATCACTAACAAAATTACCGCACTAACCTCAGAAACTGAAGAACGTTTATAAATATCCAAAGATTCTTATACAAGCCTCACAGTCGGTTATTGTTCCAGAAAATTTCAATAAAGCTGATATATCCATATTTAAAAAAAAAAAAAAATTATAAAAAGGAATTTAAATGCAACAACCAAGTATCTTTCTTTAACCGTCCAAATAATTTCAGAAAAGAAAAAAGTATGTCGCTGTATTTATTGATTTATCATCAGAATGTGACGAGTAGAGTATGGAAATTATTTTTTAATTCATACGCATAAGCTTATAGTACAGGTTTAAAGAGCTATTTGCCCCAAAGTTCGGTGCCAGCACCACTATTGTTTACTAACAGATACTATTGCTAATATGTTCATAGAGATATGTACCACTGGCCTGAAGGCTTAATAATTTATCAAAAGGCCTTAGGAAAAAATCCAGAGTATGGATACAGAGCAAAAGTTGAAGTTTAACAGCTATATAAAGTATTTGGGGAGTGACCCTTTACTGAACATTTTGCGGAGAAGCTAAAAACCAGTAATAATATACTACACAAACTCTACGATAAAATATAAGAGATAAAGGCTTCAGTTTTTAGAACATTACCCCTCGCATTGGTACACTTTATAACGGAATATTGCATTCTTGGTTGACTGAATAGAGTCCACATAAGATGGTAGATATAGAGTTAAATTACACAACGATAAAGATATTAGAAAACATAAAATCTACCTCATTACAATGTACTGACTAATTGACATTTACGAAGACAACTGGGCCTAAAAAGTGGTTGAAAGAAATGAGTTGCAAACGGACAACTTTTTTGCATGAGAACTGCTACAGGGCGTTTCATTGGTAAACAGTTAAACAGGTAACCGTGGATGGTTCTAAAAAACCTATGATTAATGGGTCTCACGTCTTTACTAACACATATACAGGGTGTTTTATGGAGTTGTCTCATTTCTTTCGAAAATTATAACTAACGAACCACCTAGTATTTAATAAATAGTAGAGAAGAGCTTTTACAAAGGATAGAAAACGCTTGCGAAGAATTAAGAAATATTCGAGGCTTTATTAGAAAGGCAATAAGAAGCATTACAAAACGAGCACTAAACTGCATGGGGGTAAATTCGAGCAATTTTTGTTCTTTGTTCGTGTAAATAATTATTTAAAATGTTATAAAAATATTTGGAAAATGCAATATTTTGTTCTAAAACAGTGGCTGTACTCACATTGAGTTTATTGAGATACACAGGTACTGCCAGACATATTTTAGTTTCAACAGATCACAGTAAATTATTTTCTTAATTTATTAACAAAAATAAACTTTTTGAAATGTTATTAACTGGTTTTAATAAAAAATGTAAATTCGAGATTAAAATGTCACCCGTAGAATCGGATGCGCAACTACAAAAAGTACATTGTTTAATTCAATGTTTTGTTTTCTTTTAAAATATCAAATAGGATTTTAAAAATTCTGATATACAGTGGCTGTTTGAAGAAAACAAAAATTTATAAGTTTTTTGTTAATATGGACCTGGATTTTTATTCTGGATATTACGTCAGTCGTTTTTGCAGTAAAAGGGAAACAAGAAAACCAATTTTCAAAAAATATACTAGGGGTTCGTAAATTATGAACTTCAAAAGAAATGAGCAAACTCCTTAAAACACCCTGTATCTTTGTTATTAATGACGTGAGACCCATTAACCGTAGGTGTTTTAGAACCATCTTAGTGTCCCTTATCCACGGTTACGTTTTGTCTGTTTACCAATGAAACACCCTGTATAATCAGTCAGATTATGTAAGATTTAGGAGACCACCAGGGAGACTGAGAAAATATAAGAGACGGATTCAATGTCGAAATAGCCCGGCGCCAAGAGTGTGAGCAATCTCTAACCCAAATTTGTTTGACCTGGTGTCTGACTCGGTGCAAACTTCTAGTGTTTTGGATCTCCCAAGGAAAATATTGATAACGTTTATCCTGACCATGGCAAATTATGGCTATGTCTATATACAGCGAATGTTGTTTACATTTTTATGATTATTTTTCTGTATTTTTCTAGGACTAGAAAGATACTAGAAATATATGACCAAAATCCGGATTCTACAACTGAAACTAATAAAATAAATATCTTTGGAAAGTAGATAATTGGCGCCTTCAGAAAGAATATTAGGCATGTTTCACACATTTCATTTTATTCTTAAAAATTAACAACGTTATTTCTTAAACAAAAGTAGTGTATCTATCCTATAAGGATCAACATAGAGAAAACTAATAATTTTTTTACTAGCTTTATTTTTACCCATTTAAAATTTATCGAGCTCATCCCATTTTTTAAATTTAATTATTCTTTTCGTTTATTTATTAATAGTTTAGGGTCATTTCAGACTAAAAGTTTCTGCGAGGTTAGTGCTGGTTACTAGAACTAATAGACTGTTTTATAAAAATAACAAATCCCGAGCTACCGACCAAAATTAACATTCAAGAAGTCGGTCAAAATTTCGGGATTAAATCTGATAGTCACATAGTATGGTTTAAAAATAAAGATTCCTTTTTTTTATTATTTTTTAATATCTACAAATGCAGTCTATAGGAACCCCAACAAATTAACTATGAGTTTTAACGGAGAATAGTTTATCTTAATTAAAAAAATTATCTTATCATGGTAAGTGTTATGTTCGAATAGCCTCTTTTTGTAGTCTGGCAGCTACTGCTGCTACCAAGGCAGCACCACGTCCACTGCCGTCTTCCGATAACATCAGATCAAACTAAAGAAGAAAAAAAGTTATAGAGAGGTTGCTTGCAACTTTTTGTTTAAAGTATGCTCACCTCTATACTGGGGTCGACTAATTCCTTAATTTTCTCCATCATTAGATTGTGGAAATGAGGATGGAATCTGTACACTGATCCATCAATACCAATTGTGACATTTTTCTCGTCCATTTTATTAAGCAACGTTGCCAAACCTGCTGACACTAAATGGGCTGACCGTCTTGATATGCATTCGCAAATATACCTTATATTTATAAAATCTTGTTCTGTAGCATGCTTTAACGCTAAAAAAAAAAACAAGAAATATAATAGATATTTATGAAATCAGTTGCGAAATGTCTTATTTTATGTAACGAGTGAATATTTGCGGGACAAGCAAAGCGACGTCCCGCAACATAAAAGAGTTACATAAAACGGCATTTCGTAACGTGTTAAACATTACTAACATCTATATTATAGAACCACGATTAGAACATCATTATTAATTATTTATTCTCAACGACTTGCAGTGTGTTTATATAGTTTATTAAATTTATTTAGTTTTCAAAAAAGGGAGTTAATTTGTCGTATATTGTGTTTTAAATATTATTTTGTGCCGATTTGAACTTGAAAATAAGGACCAAAACAACAATATTACTAGGTTGTAAGTTTAACCAAATTTTATTTTTGATATAAACTTTCAAAAAACTTTCAATAATATTGTATATTATTAATTTTAAAACCAAAAACAGGTTTATTTTTATTTGTTTTCTTTTCGCAACTGGTGACGTAATGAATTTTTCTAAACTAGTTTCATAATGTTCAACATTATATCATTGGTTGCTTAAGGTAGATCATTTTGACACTTTCTGCGATTATAAGAAATATCACTGTATTAGATTAAGTATTAAAGGTAAAAATATCTAGTAATTGCCATTTATCGATTCTTCACAAGAATAACTCATTTTAAATTAAATTTTTTCTAATAACAAAAAAGATACTGACAATTGTTTTAACAATTTTATTGTCACTAATTTAAAATTTTTAAACCGAATAATTAGCATGTTTATTACCCGGCTGGCTATCAATGGCGGAACCAGGATTTTGATGTTTGGGTTACAAATTAAATATGCCACATGTCAAAACAAATACAATACCTTAATGACATGCTAATATTTAAGGAGGTGATTCTTGGGTCCATTTTAAGGAAAAAAACTTCATATGGACGTATGTGGCCACTTTCAACAATTTTTATAATCATTGTTAGTATTGTTAATAATTAATAAATAAATGTTAGTATTCCTAATAATTAGGTAATATTTAATAAATTTAAACCGTTCATGTGAACATTCTGAAATCCCCACTAAAATTCTAATGCTATAACTATTATTGGCACTTGATTTTGTTTTATTTTTTCCTAAAGTAAAATAAGTTACTTACTTCTGAATTAATTAACATTTGATATGAAATCAACTCAATAGCTCGAAAAAACGAAAAACAAAGCGATTTCTGCGCAACAGTCACCGCATCAGATTTGACCCTGAAGTAAAACGATTTTTATTTTTTTAAGCGAAAACCATGCGTCGGGCGAAAAAAATCAAAAAATCAAATTTGCTCAGAAATGAATGAGGATTCCAAAAATTTCAAGAATAGGCAGTGGCGTACCATTTTTTCTTCAAAAATATTCAATGCAAAACCCTTACGGACGGCATTGCTAAAAATAATAAAATTATTTTTACATCAGAAAATGCATCTTGATTCATAGAAGACGGGTGTTAAATTTTATAAAGATATCTACAATAGTATCACAGTTATTATAAAAAAACTATTTTTTTTTTGAAAATTTTACCGCCCTCAAAATTTAGGAGGTTTAGGACATACGTCCATATGAAGTTTTTTCCTTAAAATGGGCCCAAGAATCACCCCCTTAAATATTAGCATGTCATTAAGGAACACCCTGTATAGTATGTACATTTTTATTTAACATCAACATTTTCTAGCAAAATTCATTATCAGAGTCTCAACATTTCCAGACAAAGTTCATCATTTGAGCCTCAAAACTGCCTGACAAATTTCACCTCATGAGCTGTGCTCAGAAGGTGAGCGACACCCCCTTTGCCTCACCGCAACCTCCTGGGTCCGCCTCTGCTGGATACTAAACATTAACTGTGATTGGTAGATTTCATATCCATTCTAGAATGGATATAGAAATTTTATATCAATTAAATGTAGAAAAAATGCCTTAGAACATACACCGACGTTGGAATTGCCTAGGGTTCCCCTATTTACGGTTAATGTATCTGACATTGAGGTAAAAAAAACGAATAATAATTCCACCGACTTAAAACTAATTCTGCTAATTTTTGGCATATTCTTTTACTTACCTAATTCTTCACAGATATCTCTCAGGTTATTAAAAACTCCTGGGGGATCACTTTCAATTTCGGAAACATATTTTGTGTAGAATCTACCTCTTTCAAATAACATATCTGAACCTTTTCCACCAAAAAGCAAACCTTCTTTTGTGAACCTTTCCAAAGCCAGTCGAACCAACTCACCCATGTACATGCCGGAAATCATTTTTTCACATCTAAAAACAAGAAACAATTTTTAAACAATGAATAAAGAGTACGGAAATTGAACGAAAATGTCACAATAGTCGTTTATAAAGTGATAAAAAATAGTAGTTTATGTTATAAGGATGAAAAGTTGAGTTTTTCGCAATCTTGCGCAATCTATATAACTATATATCATTGACCCTGTCAAATACATCAGGCAGTCACTTAGAAAGGTCATTGGAATGCCTTATTATGTTCAATTTCGGTACAGGATTTTCGCCATGAGAAAAGGCGTAATACAATTGTAATGCAAGCCATTTTTGACCGATCTGGTCATGTTCTAATCTCCCGGTGATACGCCTATCACTAGTCGTAATGAATCATTCATAGATTGCATGAGAACGATGACGAATTTGAAGAAATAGCGCAGGTAAAAACATTACCAGTACTGGAGTTGTGGCGAATCTTCTGGACACTTTAATTTATGGCGAATGTGCTATAGGAATGTTGTCAATCTTGCCTGAATTTACACGCTCACTTATGTACTTAAATAGGCTGCATGCGGGAGGAGCAGTTCAGTTCAAGCCGAGATACAGTTGAAGATAGACATTCGAATTATTAAATAAATTAGATTATAAGTGTGAAATATAAATATTGCTCGAGTATAAATAAATTATAAATGAACTGTTCTAAATAAATAAACGCTTCACAATTTTATAGTGTTTCAATCTGTGATCTGATATATTTTAATAAGAAATTAAAAATGAGTAAATGGGATTCATAATAAACTGTATTTAAATTTTGTCGCCCTAAAGCAGTTAATTTTGCAATGATACTTCGAGGATTTATCCCCAATCAAAATATGAAAAAGTAAAAATAGTAATATTGGCGTTTCTTGACCAGGGAATTAATCTGTCATGCAGGTCCCTCGAAAATTTCTTAGGAAAATTAGAAGGCCAAATTATGTGGACTAATAAAATATTTAGTTAAAAAAAAACGAACTCGATCAAAACAGGCTTTTTAGTCTCATTTGTATTTAGATTTTTAGCTAAAGTACTCACTTTTGTTTTGAAGGATTCACAGAATTTCTGTCGATGTCCTCGTCATATTCAGTTCTAACAAAGTCCAGGGCTCCGTCGTCACCAAATGCACCCCATTCCAAGTTAATTAATACATTGCCAGATCCCATGTCGACATCACTCCACATTTCAGCGTTCTTTTGTTTTTCCACATAACAGGCATTAGATCCGGTACCTATATTTTTGGAATTTTAAAAATAAAATGTATACATAAAACATTTAATACGGTAGATAAAAATGGACTATATCTCATAAACGAAAGATGATAGGCAAAAAATGATTAAAACCGTTTCTAGGATAGGAAGGGGGAACTACAATGACATAAAAGAGAACTCGCCCTCATCAACCCCCTAGACCTCACCTTCCCCAACTAAAAAAGTTTAAATAGCAAACCCCTAGTAGTGATACATCATTGAAAACCTATAAAAAATACTATCCAATGCTATAAATTATAATTACCAAATTAATATCTAAAAATTTTAAAAACAAACATACCCTACTTGTGATACAATGTTAAAAAGCTCTAAAGGCCAATAAAACCTTATTTTCAATAAGTGTCCGTAGGTACTTTTTGTTGTTAAATAAAAACTTTCAATATATATTGTAAGTTTTTAAATTGTCACACCGTATATGTAACAGTAATGAACATTTTACGTAAGAAAAACTTTTCAGAAGAAGCAGCTACATGTACGCAGTTAAAATATGATTTAATACAGAGATAAATTTGTCCAATAAGTATGTAACCAGGAATGCGTATTTTAAATTCAGCATGACTCTAATTCTTTATTGAAGTAATATTCTTCATTTGGATCCTGGTATTCTTAAATTAACATTGCCTTGTTCAATTTTTAAATCAAAAGCTATAAATAAGCACCAACATTGTTAATTTCAAAACAATTCAACGATTTTTTAGCATGCATACTTAAACATTTCTTAAATAAAGATTGTGGCATGCTTGGCTCAAAAACAAACCTGAAAATGCTTATTTTTTGTTTAAAATGAGCATGAATTTTTCTCTGTGAATTGATTAATTATGCAACTGCTGTTTTAACCATATAGTTAAATCGTTCAATTTCAACTGTGTGAATGTAGCGGGCTAAGATTTACACATAAACTTAAGCCACTAGAGTAATAGAAATTTCCTACAAAGGCCGAACCTTGACCGGTTGAAAATATTTTTATTCTAAAAAACTGCGGGAAGTTAATATCTCAAGGGATTCGGACTGGATAAATTCGTTTTTCTGTTTTATTATATACAGTGTGTCCCTAGAAATTTTATACAAATGGGAAAAAAGTTTATCTTACATTTCACAAAAAAATTATTCTTGATAAAAAGTTATGGACTTGGAAGTGCATGATCCAAGCATGAACTTAGTAAAACTAAAAAAATTTCCAATACATAGTTTAGCATTAGTTTTGGTTAATTTATTGAATAGAGTAAACAAAATCGGAACAACTGGTCTTGATTGATTGGAAAAGTTCAATGATATTTGCTCCATAATTAAACTCATCTAACTGGGAAACTACGAGTATAAAATTCATCAAAAAGTGATCACTAGGTGTATAAGGTGCTAAGTGAGTGTGTGTGTAAAGAGATTTGCATAAATCTAACAAGGTCAGATAATTAATTTAAGATTTAATACAGGGTGGCCCACCGAAAAAGTACCGCAAGGCATTACAGAGTGGAAAAGAACTTTTCCTAACAAGGTCAGATAATTAATTTAAGATTTAATACAGGGTGGCCCACCGAAAAAGTACCGCAAGGCATTACAGAGTGGAAAAGAACTTTTCGGCAAAATCCAAAAACACGTCAAGGGGACACCTTTTGACGCAAAAAGCATAGTAAAACCTTCAACCCCCTCAGTAGGGGTGTCATCCTCCAAATTTTTTCAAAGGGGAAAGGGGTCAAGTAATACCTCATTAAAAGGGTATTGTCATTCCCTATACAACGCTGCTTTTTGAAATTCGAGCCACTCGTTTAGAAAATTATGGAGCCTTGAAAATTAAACAATAATGTGTGTGACGGAAAATTCAAAAAGCGATTCAATGCTTATCGTCAGTAAATGCTCGAAGTGCTGCCCGCCAACTTGGTTACAATGATACAAGTTATCTTCAAACCGTTGCCGTATATTTTGGAGCATTTGCGGTGTCATTCCGCGACATGCGCTAATAATTCTTCACAACTCTTCTAATATACCAGATGCAGTTTTGTAAACTATGCTATTTGTGTTTCCTCAAGAAAAAATCTAAAGAACTTAAGTCGGGTGACCAAGGTGGCCACTCAGTTGTGCCCCTTCGTCCTATCCATCGTCCTGGAAATGTGCCATTTAAATAATTGCACACATTAAGCGAGTAATGCGGAGGAGCTCCGTCTTGTTGGAAAATCAGTTCCTGTTCGTTGTGTGCGGAGTCGTTTTCTATAATATTTGTTAGAGCTGGATCGATGGCATTTTGTAGTAAATCCAAGTACCTGTTGCCTGTTATATTTCCAGGAAGGAAAAAAGGGCCTACAATGGAATTTCCAAAAATACCAGCGCATACATTTAACTTCTCGGGGTGTTGTGTGTGTGTCTCGTGGAAAATCCTTGGATTGCTGTCAGCCCAGCAACGGCAATTGTGGCGATTCACTAAACCTTGTAGGAAGAAAGAACACTCATCCGAAAAACACACATTAAATAAGAAATTATCATTGTTCAACGCTCGCTCACTCATAATTTCGCAAAATTGCAAGCGACGATCGAAGTCGTCTTCACTTATTTGCACTCAGTAAATTTTATAAGGATGGAATTTGTATTTTTTTAATACCCGTTGGACACTTGTACGAGTAACACCCGTCGCAATGGCCAATTGTCTTGTATTCAGCGTACTCTCCACTGTGACTTGCCTCAATACTCCGTAAGTTATTTAACACTGGATTTTCAAGGTTCCTCTTTTTGTTGTAAACCGAACCTGTTTCGCGACATTTTTACACCAATTGCGATCAATTTTCCTAGAGAGATTTTTATCAAAATGCCGTTGGTTAAACAGCTCGGCGACCCGATTTCCACACTAATTATTTTTAAAAAAAGCTCAATAATTTCCACTCTTTTTGCAATTGAGTACACCATAACTGATAAATATAATGTTCACAATGACAATGACACTGAAACAGTAACCATAAGACATGTATCTAGCAAATAATTTAATTTAAACGTAAAGAAAGAAACCCGATAATTCTTTACTAACAAAAAAGAGCCTAACGAATCTGCAAAGCGGCAAAAACAGCAAATTCATTAAAAAAAAAATAACATTATATAGCAACAAATGTTTTAGTGTTTCGAGTTAATGAAGGGTTTTATTTTAAATCTGGGAATAATTAATGTAATTTTAAAAATATGGCAAGGTTAAATGAAATCGCTTTTTGCATTTTCCAACACACATTATTGTTTAATTTTCAAGGCTCCATAATTTTCTAAACGAGTGGCTCGATTTTCAAAAAGCAGCGTTGTATAGGGAATGACAATACCCTTTTAATGAGGTATTACTTGACCCCTTTCCCCTTTGAAAAAATTTGGACGATGACACCCCTACTAAGGGGGTTGAAGATTTTACTATGCTTTTTGCATCAAAGGTGCCCCCTTGACAAACTTGACGTGTTTTTGAATTTCGCCGAAAAGTTCTTTTCCACCCTGTAATGCCTTGCTTTACGTTTTCGATGGGCCACCCTGTGTATTTTTATAAGGTAAATTGCATGCTGATAGAAGTCGAGGACCGACGGGTTGACACCATAGATATATCTATGGTTGACACCACATACTTTGGTTGACACACTGAATATTAAACTGGAAGTTCAAAGCCGATCAACAAAATCGTGCCACATAGCGAGGTGATATTTGACAGGCTGGCGCCCACAAGTGCGTATCCAAATGCACTAAAAGGTAACACCAAAATTAAATTTAACACTTATTACATTCAACTACAACACCTTTTAATTTAAGAAAATCACTTGACAGTCTGACGTCTAAATTGTCATGCGCGCTGACCGTTTTTTTCATGGAGACTACACAAGGAGCACGCACTCATGTGTGGCATTTGCCAGAGTATGTCCGCGCTTTATCGTATAAATAAAGCATTCTTTTTTCACCACTAGCGTCGCTAATTTTTCTTTTATACCGGTGTGAATATAGAGGAATAAACAAATGTGAAGTTAGCGTGAAAATAAAGTAACCGATTATTTAATTAACGTAAACACGTGTCAAATGTTTTTAAATTAAATAAATATAATTAGAGTTATAATTAATTAATTAATAATTAATTAGAATTATTTATTTTATTTCAAACTACCGCCTCATTCTCTTATGCCATTTTGGTACTTATGGAACACTAGCGCCCTCTTAAAATACTCTGTTTAACACAGTACGCTTGTTATACATGGAGTGCGTGCTCCTTGTGTAGTCTCCATGGTTTTTTTTTCACCCATAGTAACGTTCGGTTCGACCAGGTTCTGGAACGGGACAGGAGCGGAGTTTTTTTATGGTGCTTTTAAATGACATTTAAGCGTGTTGAACTGTCACTAATCGGACTAAAACGAACGCTAAAAGGGTAGTCTGGAGTTAAAAGTGTTAAAGGAGTTAAGGAGCTTGGCAAACCGAACGCAACTCTTATCGCGCGGCTTAGAAATTAGAAGTGGGGCTTATGATTCGCACCGCTAGTAGTTAAGAAATAAGCCAAGCTTAAAATGAGATTTTCCCATTGATAATGTCATTTTAAGCTTCACTTATTTCTTAACTACTAGCGGTGCGAATGGTCCAGCAGTTTAAATATGAAGGTCGGTGGGTTGACCGGCCGGTGGCTTTTCCGCAGTGTGATAAGATAAGCAGGTAGATAAGAAAGGAATAAATCTAAATGAACAGGGTCGGCTCAGACGTAGTAGGTTTTTGATACATCAAAACGTGAACTGGACACCAAAACTGTTGAGTAAATTAAAAAGAAAAAAGGAAATAAAAATGTGCGATATAGCGGAAAAGAAAAATAAAAGAGGAAATAATGGAACGTATTTTGGAAGAAATAAAGGCAAATTAGACAATGCGGACGAAAGGAACATAAGAATAGAAGGAAAACTAGATTATCTTAAAAAAGAATTAATAGAAATCAAAAACGAAAATCAAGGGATTAAAATTGAAAATAAACAGCTTAGGGTAGATCTGAAAGCACAAGAAGAAAGAATAATAGAACTAGAAAGGGAAATTAGGAAAAAGAAGATAGTCATCTTTGAAAGTGAGGATAGTTATATAAGGAGGATCTACTAATTATGAAAAATAAAACGAAAGTGATGGGTGCAGTGGAACTCAATGAAAAAGAGGACAGCCGAAATAAGAAGAATAGGAAATAAAATTGAAAACAAAGTAAGGCCAATGTTAGTGGAATTCAGGGAACGAAAAACAGGGACAGTATGGGGTGGGATTTATGCTGCTAGGGCGCTAGGCGATCTACAAGAAAAATGTAACACAATAAATGAAAGAATAGCCTACCTACGAGTAAAAGCAAAACCATTCAATATATCACCAAACCAGAGGAGAAAGAGGATTTCTACGATAGAGTACAAGAAGAAATAGAAAAAAAAAAACAAAGGAAAATGTAATGATAGTGCTTGGAAATTTTAATGCAAAAATAGGCAAAGAAGTTCATATAGAGCAAATAGCAGGGAAATACACCATACACGAAAAAACAGACAACAACGGACAGGGGTTATGTAACCTAACACAAACAAATATGATCATAAGCTCTATAAAATTTAAACATTCCAAAATGCATAAAGTGACTTGGATATCACCTGATGAAAAAACAAGCCAAATTGATCACGTAATCTCGTACTCATCATAAAATGAAAATACTGGACAATAAAAGATTCTTATCATTACATGGTCACTGCTACCATAAAACAAAAAGTGCAAAGAGTTAAAAACCTTAATACAATGCAACACAAATGGGATATAAGTCTAAACAACGAAAAAGTAAAAGACAAATATGCAGAGAAACAAAACTTATAAAGAAAAAGTAAAAGAGAGTAGATAGACAATAAAATAAAAATAATTGAACAAGAAGAAAGTAAGAAAAATACAAAAGACTTTTACGAGAAAATTAAAGAACAGAACAAAATCTACAAAGACAAAAATAAGGGAATAACAAATACGTGTGGCACTCGGGGACTGCCGCAGTAAAGCTATTGCATAGCAATTTTTATCAACTTATGCAATTATAGTTATTTATTTATTTTATTTATGCAGTATTTTTTTTTCTTTGATATTAATTCAAGTTTTTTCTTTGATATTAATTCAAGTTACACTTTTTGAGCGTGGTAACCTATAAGAAAACAACTTTTTTTCTTTCATTGAATAAATGAGAAGTTAATATTGTTTAAAATATTTTTATTATCTTACAATACATGTAGGTTATTCAGGAATTTTTATCATTGAAACTATAGGTTTATGGTAACTGAAATAAGAAACATAAGTTTGAGACTTGATATCCTCTAAATATCTTGAAAATACCGCGTCAATGGTGGTCCCATATTTTGTTGTGGATTCTTGTGGATCATTATTCATTTTAAAATTCAATTTTTCCGAAATTGTGTCTAATAGAGATAGAATCAGTTATAAGGAGTTAGCAGCTAGTCTACACGCATACGTCTAGTCGCACGCACCCAAACACCGTGCCGAAGTCTGCCGAACTGAAACGACGTTAGACGATGCACGGCTTTCAACGCCGCACCGCTGTGCCAGTCGGAGTGGGGGGCTGTTAAGGTTTATTTTCGTTACGGAATTTCTTTTTCGATTTTACGATTTTTCGATTTTTTCGATTTTTTGATTTTTCAATTATATACTTTTTAAAAACTAAACATTTTAAATTACCAAGACTGTGAAATAATAAAACAATAATATTTAAAAAAAAAAAACAAAAAAAAAGTCAAAGTTCTGGGCTCGAACCACCAACTTGCTATCCACACTATCCAAATTAAGACCACTGTACGCTTTGCGCCACCAAGCACATATTGATTGACGTTTGGAATCGCTTATAATAATATATAACAATTTATTACAAATATTTACGAAAAATTTTATCATGTCAAATGATACCTATATTGTAATTTAATGGAATCACATAAATATATGATTTAAAAACTATAAAAGTATCATTATTACTTAATTGTATTAATTTTTAATCTTGAGATATAAACTTCCATTGCTTTAAGGCCGCACTGCTGTGCCGGTCGGAGTGGGGGGTGTTAGGTTTATTTTCGTTACGGTGTTAAGAAATTTCTTGATTCGGTCGCCGCTCAAAGCCCGCGATAAAAGCTATGCAATAGCTTAAAAATAAAAAAGGAGAACTGATACTGGAAGATGAAGAATACAAGCAGGTCTGAATAGATTACTTTAAAGGTCTCTTAATCGATCAGGAAACGGAAGAATCTGAGATAATAGAGGAAGAGGAAATAGAAGAATGGGACATAATTGCTGATCCAACAAGAGAAGAGATTGAGAAGGTCATTGGGCAAAATGCAAATGGAAAATCACCAGGAAAAGATTGAATTAACATCGAACTCATTAAATATGGAGGCAACGAATTGAAAGAAAGACTATTATCTATATTTCAGAAAATATGGAGAGGAAAAAATGCCGAGGGTGGGAAATAGGAGAGGTGATAATAATCCATAAAAAAGGTGACCAAAAAATATGTAAAAATAACAGAGGAATAACACTTCATAATACAGCTTCCAAAAAACTTTCCGCAATAACACAAAGACGGCTAGCGCAAACAACAAAAAAGGTGATAGGACAGTAACAATATGGATTCACACAGGGGAAATCAACTATAGATTCAATCAAAGCAAATAATGAAAAAGGTGTATGAAAATGGAATTAGAAATGCTTTTTATTAAAGTTAAACAAGTCTTTGACTCAATAAAAAGAACAAAACTGCAGCTGGCCCTACAAAAATTAAGAATACCAATAAAATTAAGGCGGTTAATAACAATGACGATACGAGAAATGAAAATTAACATTAAAACACAAAAACGAGTGACATAAGAATTCATAATTAATAAATGAGTAAAGCAGGTAGATTCGCTATCAGCCATTCTGTTCAATCTCTCGTTAAAGTATGTAACGAGGACAATTAATAAAGGGGCACTGAGAACAGGGGGAGGACAAGTCATTGCATATGCAGATGACATAGTGATAATTTCAAAAACGAGAAAAATCATATAAAACATGTTGAACGAAATTGTAAAAGAAGGAACAATTATGGACATAGAGCTAAACCCAGAAAAAACAAAAATCATGAGATTAAATAATAAAGTAGCATGAAAAAGTATTAAAATAGGAAAACATGAATTCGAAGAAGTGCAAAAATTTCAATCACAATAGCTAAAACTGCAGACAGGAAACTAGAAATATCAGAAAAATAGTCACTAAAAATAAAGCCTTTTACGCAAATAAAAAATTACTTGAAAGAAAGTTACTCACAAAAAACACAAAAATGAAAATATGAAAAAATCAGACCAATATTACTGTAAGCATCAGAAACAATTAATATGACAAAAAAAAGAGGAAGAAGATCTAAGAATTATGGAAAGAAAAATTATGAGAGGAATATTAGGACCAATTAAAATCACAGAAGAAGAATAAATTAAAACAAATGAGGAAATTAAACCAGAGTTAGAAGACATAATAACAAAAATAAAACAACCCAGAGTTAGACACGTTTGGAGAGAAGGAAATGGAACATTGGTACATTCAATGTTACAATGGGACCCCGGAGGAAGAAGGAGACGTGGAAGAGGAAGATCAGGCTGGCTGAAGGAAGTGAAATAAGATCTACGCTGGACAGGAGTGAATATTTGGCAAGAAAAAGTACAGGATAGGGATACTTTTTTGCAAAGAGTTTTATCTAAGAGAATGGGATTGATCCACCCAAAATATGGATCTAGAGAGCGAACAGCTTTTGGTTACTAGGTTGAGTACAATAACATACCAAAGTTTCAGAAAATTTAACTGGTCGTCACTTTTACATAAGTGCGGGAATCCTTTGTGTAATGGATGTGTAAGTTTCACACCTACAGTTGAAATAAAATTCACGACATCTTTAAAAATATATAGACAAAAACAATTGGAAGATCAAAATGAGAAAGGATTACAAGAAAAAATTATTTTTGAAACAAGAAAAGGTTAAGTGATATTTTTTTATGTTTATTCAATAAATTCAATACACTCTTAAATTAACCAACCTTCGATAACGTGACACTAGTAAGGTCAGTTTGTATGATAAAATTATGAAAAAAATGATAATTTCTACACCATGGTACAATTTGATTTTGGTCATCTGGCAACACTGCTGATGGAACACTCTCCTGAGTTTGAGAATAGGGTACCAGATCTCAGCCAAGTCCGACTCAGCTGAGTCATCCTTGAACAAAAATCGAAGTTCGGTTATATCGCGTGAATTTAGAGATGGGTAGTAACCAGAGATAACTGGTTATCTCTGGTAGTAACAGATCCGTAAATGTACTTACTTCGATTTTCGTTCAAGGACGATTCACCCAAGTCCGACTCAGCTGAGATCTGTTTATAAATACGGGCCTAAGTGATGCAGAACTTTTTATCAAAACACAAAGAATAATTTTTTTTGTGAAATGTGAAGACAAAACTGTTTCCCCATTTGTATAAAACTTTTTTTCTAGTGGTTTGAGCCTATCTATAAATATTTTGGGTTTTATATTTATAACAAAGTCTGAATGTTCAAATTATGTTTTTGATTAATTATACTTTGCCTCAAGCAACCCAAAGTAATAATATATTAAAAAAAGCCATGTAGACAACATGCAGGAATCCTTCCTGTTTGTAGTTTTAAAATACCAGTTTTAACATATCAAAAAATACAATTTTTTTATTGACTTAAATTTTAGATAAATAAGTAATAATATTTTACGAATTACGCCACATAATAAAGTTTTATTATATATTTTCTAAAAATAAATTTATTTTTGTTTGAGTTAATCCGTACTTAAAATCTTTATTTTATGAGATAACATTTTTAAACGACAATTTAAGATTATTTATTTAGCTTAATAGGTATAATATTTAAATTTCATTCGAAATGTTTATATTTTTCTGATATTTCTTATTATGGGCCTTCAATATTGTATTCGTGCCGTAGATAAATTTTCTTACCTCCATTATGTAATATGTTTCTCCACGTTTACGATCATTCTAGATCGG